TAGCAGCAGTGTTTCACTTTGGAAATGGTTTCCTGTTACTTGGAGGCCATGGCAGCACATCTGGTGCCCCACGGTTGCAACTTCAGAGGCAGGGCCTGCTGGCTCCAGCGCCATCTCGCCCAGCTGGCAGCCAGGGAAGCTACCTCCCCACAGGGAGAGCCGTCGCTGGCGTGCACCCTCTCCTGATCAAGGTGCTATTCAAATTGTTGAGATGAAATTTTTATTCCAGAACTTTTATTCCGCTCACTCTTACAAGCACTGGTTATAATTATGGCTTAAGTTGCAACTAAAATGATTACCTACTCAGGAGCTGAAAAAGTAAATGAAATTATGTGTCAAGAACTCTCCAATAGAGAATATGGACATTTTAAAGCTAGCCTACAAGACCCTGGAAAAACTCCATCCAAGGTAACAAATCTGATGGCCCGTGGTTAAAATGAAAAGACAGAAAACACAGGGCTGCTGCAACAGTCAGGGAAACGGGGACTCATACGAAGATGGCAACCCTCCTAGCCTCATTATGAATAATTAAAAGCACTTGGCTTGTTTACTTTAATAAAACTAAGCTGAAGAAGAGACATAATTGCCTGCTATAAATGCACTAGAAGACGGCTAAACATAGAATAAGAGGATAAAAAATGATCTCAAAGAGTTTAGGTTAAAAGGTTTCTGACCATGAAAGGAAGGTAATACTTCAACCAGTTTGCCAGTAAGACTAATCAAGGCAAAAAAAACCCCAAAAAAGGTTTAAGAAGAAACTGGAAATTAATAGATGGGATTATATATTGTGGTTCCCTATAAGGAATGGGTTCAAGATTTCTTCTAGTCCTCTATGCTGTATCAGGTCCTATTTCCTAGGAATGAAAACCAAGGATTGTTTTTGAAAGAAACAAATTCCTATTCCAAAAAACAAGCAGAAGTGCCATTTTGGAAGAAAAACTGTTGAAGATGCCTAATTTTTCTTTTAGATTTAATCTTTTTTTGTAAAGAGACTTAAGATGGAATAAACTCCCCAGATTTAATTCATTGAATTGAGTCCATTAATTGACATGAATTGAACTGAGGCTTTTTGTAGCGTTTCATGTGCTCATGAGAAGATTATATGCAGCATGAAGTGGACTGTGAAACTGCTGGAAAATGTTGAATACTCCCTGTTTGCATAATTTTAGAAACTATTCTGTGAGAGAGAATTATGGCCTTCAGTGTGAAAAGACGATCCTTTCTTGGAATTACTAGACGTGGCAAAACCTCCTCCTCTTTGGTTAACTCTTCACTTGCATCAGAAATCAGACTCATCTCCATCACCAAGAAGACACAGTGATTATTTACTAATGGTCCTGTGTCTAGCCAGGACATTTGCTTCTGGAGAAGACCAGAAACAAGCAAACGTAGGATGTCTCCAAAACACACATACCCATCTTCATAGCAAGAAAAGCAGCAGAGAGCTAGATGTTAACTCTTTGGGGGGCACATAGTATTTTGTAACATTATTTCCGTAATGCTATTTACAGGCCACTTTCATGACAGCCACAAGTGGTCTGACAAGTCAGCTTGTCAGAAACATCCCTCACATCACTCCAAAAAGCCTAACTGGTTAATCACTAATGCCCAGGTAATCTGTAGGAGCTCATCACCAACTTACCTCCCATGTCTCCAACTGTGTTTTCATTCACCTACGAGCCAGTCATTAAATTTAAATACCTGGTATCAGCATCTCCTACCTCTATCCCTTTTGGAAATAGTCTCCTTCTCTTCCTTTCTTTTGAGATCCTGAGCATTTACTGGTTTCTAAAGTAGAAAACAGACGTTTGGAGCAACTGCCTAGTACTTCCACAGGTATAAATACATTCTTCCCATTCTTAGACATTGATGTACAGCTGAAACTACTCTAAAACGGCAAGGCTGGAAAGTGAAGCTCTGCTGAACAGGCTAACATGGACAGGGAATTTGAAAATCCATGCTTAACACAGAAAGACTAAATTAAGCCTTAGCAGAAAACCACATTTAAAAGGAGAGAATAAAGGCGAGCCCAAATGTCAGGCCAAACAGGCCAATTCTGAAAAGATTTTGGAGAAATTCAGTCACACGAGCTTTCCATTTTTCATCCCATTCCTAGGGACAGAGACAGGTTTCCCTGGGAGGTTCAGTTTCTTTGCACAACCGCAAGGAAAAAATTCAGCATCTTTCTATACTTTTACACAATGTCATCATATTTTACAACAATGTAAAAAGAGACAGCCCAATTAGGAAGGCACAGGTTGCTCTATAAATTAACCAGGAAGGTTATGATCTGTCTCCTGGGAAGTACCAATTCAAAACTCATTTCCAGTTGTGCATGTTTCACATGCAGAATTAGGACTCTTGTCAAGTGCAATGAGCCATCTCTTCAAGAAATTCCTACTAAAATAAATTACTGAAATCAAGAAGCTGGATGTAATCATTCTCGCCTTTCTCCCGCTTCCCCTTCTCCTTTATGGCCTTGTGCAGACAACCTGCACCAGAATGCCAAGGATATGAAGCTCTGAACTGCATCTTAAGCACATGATGTATAGAGAAACATTTGTTGTTTATTGACAATTTTGAATGCTTAACTGTGTTGCTGCATAAATCACTTTTCTTACAAGAATTACATTAATTATATGACATACTTTTCCCAAAACTGACATTTTTGCAGTGCTACAATCTTTGCAGAAGTTGACAGACTCTGGTGAAGACAGCTACTTCAGTTTTCCACAAGGTGGCACGGTTCCCTTTGCTGAAAGCGTTACTCAGTGCCATTGAGGAAATTAAATTTTTATTTAGTTTTTTTTTTTCAAATGTACTGGCCACTGTCATGAATAGGTTTAAATAGGTTTAAGATCTCTAAAATATCTCTAACAAGGTTCATTTTAGCGAATTCTTCCAATAGAGTTTAATGAGTTAAAAAAAAGCTTCCTTCTCTTATGCTGAAATGAAGAAAAAGTATCTGTGCTTGCTGCCACATAAAACCAAGCTTCAATCAAATATAGTTAAGGCATGTCATGTGGCAGAGGAGAGCCTAAGGGGCTAAAAAATCTTATTTTCCAAGCCTCAGGTCACCAGTTTCAAATCCTATCAGAATTCTTTCAGTCTCGCAATATTTTGGGTAAAATGGGCTAGCAAGGAATCCACCTATGACCCCTCTTCCCATTCATGTGAGAATTAAAGATCCCAGAGCGTTTTCCACAGGTGAAGATTTCCCCTGCTGTTTCCGGACCACTTCCCACCCCTGTGGGGCAATGGCCCTTCAGCAGCTGCTTGTCCTGTCCTCGGGGCAGAGGCAGATGCACTGAACAGCTTTGTCCACAGCCTCTCCCACTGCAAAGAAACATCAGCGCTGCTGAGCTTCAGTTGCAGGACCACGCACACGGTCACTACTGCCCCTGCACAGCATCTCCATCAGGCAGTGACAGACAGCAGGTAAGCTGCTTTGATTCAAGTGATTTAAAAAAAAAAAAAACCAACAATGCCCCAAAATGTACAGTTTCTCCTCTATTTCTTGTGTTGCTTCTCTCAGTCACTTCTGTGAATGTTTCAGTGCTCAGTTTTGATTACCCATTTAAGCATCATCAGCATGGTTTTGCCTGAACAGGAGAAACAAAACCAGCTGTTATAGACAAAAGAGGACAAGCTTTTGGCATTGACCCATTTCCCTGACACCAGATGGGTATCAGTTCCATAACTTTTGAAGTTTAAACAGCAAGCCAGAGAGGGCAGGGAGATGATAACACGTAAGTTATTCGCCCACACAAATACTGCCATGGTTCTTCAAGCAGAAAGGGCTCTGAACTCTACCCAGTGCAAATCACCGGGGAAAGAGGCAGACATATCAAAATACTGCCTCCCTATAATGCTTTCCATACCATAAGGCTTATCTTGAAAGGAAGAGCTTTCTGGTTCTGAGGACTAGTACCTAATGCTCATCACTCTTCCAACTCCATTTACAGTGCTCACAATTTAGTGCTTGTCATCGTAACGAGCGCAGCTGAAACCCTTGCTTTTTAACTGCCAGCCTGCCAAGCAAAACACACTTAATCACATCTGAGTTAAACATCACAAGCCAAATAATCAAGATGACAAAGAAGTTTAAGTACCCTGATCAGTCTGTTTTCTCTCCTAAAATATATCATTAATGCTATTATAATTATTAACTCTGTTACATACTGTCTTCCTCCATGTAAGTAGCTTCTGATCCTGTCAGTCACTGCAGGTGTATGGCACAGCCAAAATACTTATTTAAATTACTTGGATTTCCAATTATAGAGATTCACATACATCCTTAAAAATGGATGCAAGCACAAGGCAAAACCATCTACAAGACAAATCTGGGGATATGTATACAAGCATTCAAAACCTTCTGCTGCTTCTTTCTCCTCAAAAATCTTAGATTACAACAGTAAAGGCTCTGACTTAATTATGGTGCTTGTTCACATAATGGTCTCATTTTTCTCTATAAATTTTATCCTCAAACTAGGTTGCATTCTCTGTTCTAAAATACAAAGTTCCTTGTTCTAAAAAGTAACTTCCTTGTTACTAGCTGCAAGTTCAAGCAGCCATGTAAACAAGGAAGAGTACTTAAAAAGGGGACAAACTCGAAAATAAAGAGCAAATTCTGTCACCACATGCCCCAAGAAGCTATCCAGCCATGACAAACAGCAGAGCCCTCTCTCACTCAAGACAGAAAACTCACTCAGTTGTGCAAGGGGTCAGTTACTACAGTTGGACAGCAGAATTTTGAGCTGTAACAGTCAATTTCTTGGCTTACGTGATTTTAAAATAAGTCACGCTTTCCTGATCAAATTGAATGAAGCTCTAAATCTGCAAATTCCTTTGATGGAATTAGTCTTGCATGGTCAATCTACATTGTGCCAAGAGGAGGAGTACAGTTAATTTCAAAACCTAGGACACATTCTGCACCTTGCAAGTTATGTTTACAATTGCAAATTTTTAATTGTTATCCCGTTGTGGATCTTCTTACAGACCTTGGCTTCTGGATCACTGTTGATGCTACAAGAATCATCATCATCAGACTGTGGACCATTTCTGTTACAGAAAAAAAAAAAAAAAGACAAATCAATCTTAAAATCATATAAAAATTACAGCACAGCACAAAATGGAGCTGGTCAATCCACGGAGACTTCTGAAGTCATTGTACCTGAGCTTCAAAGAGGCATAGCGTAATGTTGCTCCTTCAAACTCTTTCAGACTTGGGTCAGGGTTCACAGTGGCTGCATGCAGATCCTAGAGATAAAGGCAGTGCTATTAATACAGTATTAAGTGCTATTAATATAGTATTAAGTACATCACCATGTTATTTCTTATTTCAAAGAGAAATTAAATCCTCCCTGCAAAGAAGCGATAGTATTTCTGGCTGAAGTTGAAAAGAGGCATGCATATATTCTCAAGCTGCATTTCATTCAGTGCAGGCATCTTACTCGTTACGTCATGGCAGTTGCCCTGCTAGTTTAGACTGAATCCATCCCAAGTGGAAAGATCAGAAAAGGCAGCATGTTTGTGAGCTAGACATCCCTAGCAGTACCCCCATTCACTTTGGCCTAGGTTATGAATGACATTCATGGAAAAATAAAAGGGGAAAAAAACAGCCACTGCCATGCAAAAAACAAGGGTAATAGTATTAAAGGTTCTAAAATCTGACAATATACTTGCCTTCCAAATGTCACTATTAATCTTTCCCCCATTCAGTACAGCAAAATCACTCCATGGCTGTTTCTAGACACATAATTATTCACACAGAAAGAAGCACATTGATAAAAAAAAAAAAAGAAAGAAAAAGAAAAAAAACACAAGACACTGTTGTTAGCATTGATATTTACAGGATGGGTTAGGGAACAGATCACCTCAAACTTCAACTAATTACTCCACTATACCATGGCATTTGGAGGAAAGGGGAGAGAAGACATGCCTCTAACAGTTACTTACCAAAACAAATGATTGAAACAAGGAAAGTTAATATAAATTAGGAACAGACAATGAAATTACTTTTTAACTATGATCTTAAAAGCAAGCAAAATGAATCTGAATATGAATGTTGGCCACAGCTGCTACAGCCTTCGATAAACAGCAATTAAGGGGAAACATTAGGACTTCCATTTGATTGGCACTTTTGTTAAAAGACCCTAACACTATTGAAACTAGAAATACTGAAACACAATGATATATACAAGGATAAGATACACACAAGGTAAAAATCAAATATTTCTAGAGAGAAAGCACATGAAAAGGACAGTGAAGGGAAGGAGGATTAGTAAGGAGTGCAGAGAGATTTCTTGCTGAACAAGTAGTTTTGTAAAAAGTCTAGCAACTTTTTTAAAAAACAGAACAAAACAAACCCTAACAAACCACCCACCCTCTCATGTTCCATTCAAGTTTCTCAAAATTTTCAGAGGCGTTCACTGCTACAATCAAGCAAGTAGCACTACAGCAACCTGAGGTTCACCCTTCCCTGTAAAGCCTGGGAAGGGCAGCTGATGTCGGAGCTGCCCCTCTCCTCTTTCCCACAAGGACAGAAATCCCACAGTCCTGAACAAGAGCCAGGTGGGACAGATGATCTGGTTGCCGAGACATCCAGAGCCACCTCTTTGTAGCTTCACCAAATCAAGTATTCCTGTAATTAGTGGCCTGTAATTAGCTTTTAAGGTGAGCTCTCCCAGGCTGTCCAGCTCAGCCCTAAGATGAAGTGGTACCTAGTAATATGGCCCAATGCATTAATTTGCAGGTTGGACCTCTCACCTCAGAAGTGTCCTCAGTACATCCCTACTGGAGGAATTATTTGTGAGAAAACTCCTGGGAGTAACTCTTCCCTAACATGCCTTTCAATTAATTGAGCTGTTAGCTTTTCCTACTAAGCTCCTCCTCTTTAATTATTAGCTGCCAGTGGCTATGGTACCCACAGAAAAACTTCTAGAGGTGATCCAGGCCTGGCATGAGTCAGGTCATAAGACGACACAACTACCATCACCAAATTCTGCCATGATCTAAAAGAAGCTTTTACTGAAAATTAAACCCTACGGCTTTTTCTTTGCACAGGAAATGGGAAAGAGGCAGCAAAATCTCTAAAATTTGGAAAAGAACGTTACAGAAGACGAGGATTCACAAAGGAACGAATTTGGCAACACATAGGAGAAGAGAGCCATCTAAAACTAAGTCAAATTTAATCAGCTGTGCAAAACCAAAATACATTTTCAAGCTTTTGAAGGGGTGGAAGGGATGTTCCAGGTTATTCATATTTAGCATGTATTTGCATTTTTGTTAAATCTGCAGGATTTTCGGATAATGCTTAACCCGTAATTGCTTTGGATTGAAATTTACCCATTATCTTGTGAAAGAAAAATTGCCTTGTAGCCTGTGCAAAAGACATTTTCATTTTTCCCTTTTAAAACGCTTTCTGCCATTTGTATGCATTACAGCATCACTCCTCCCTACCCATTTTTTTCTGATTCTCTGTTCAACAATAGTAAGTAACTGCTTTTTTTTATGCTAAATATCCAGAGTAAGCTACAACATAAAAATGGCTGACTTGATCTGTTCTTTGACTGCCCTCAGCTGTGAGCCACATTCTACCAAATGAAGCAAAACTTCTGTATATCACATCACTTAAGAGACAGGGACACAAAATAATTTAAAAAAAGAGAAAGAAAAAAAAAAGGAAGAAACAAGACAAAGGGTAAAAAGGCATTACTCCAGGGGAAAAAAAAGGTGTTTCTAAATGTTTATTTGACAAACTCAAAAGCTGAAAGAGCCCAAATAAACTCATCTCAAGATTAGCACATGATGCTTCACAGACAAATGTGATAAAGATAAAAGTATTTTTTATGGGATCACAGAAGCCTATTGGGACAGATACGAAATGCTACCCATGCCAGTCTTCAGTCCTAGATTATACTCTTTCATCTGCCTAAAACCTATATATCCCCCAACCTTTTCAGAGGAAAGCAATACAAATTCCAGCACGTGGGAATGAGCTAAACCAGCCCTCCCAAACCAGATTATCTCAGAGCACAGGCTTCCAAACAGTAATGAGGGAACCAGTGGTGCACAGCTCACACGTGGTCCAACTTGGAGCTGGAAGCTGTCCACCACAACTGCTGCTGCCAATGGTAGCGCCGGGATAAAGGCGTTTGGGAGCCCCTATTCTAGATCGGATTCCACATCTTTTGTGAAATGTCAGATTGACTGTATCACAGACATCCAGGTTAATCCTTCACAGGGAGGCAGAGGGGGACCACTTGGGGTAGGCTGCAGTGCGGTGAGCAGGGACTGAAACCGATATCACCTGCAAGTGACCTGGAGATGATTAGGTGCTGGCAAGTATTGATTGCGGAGAGATGAAAACCCAAAGATTCATGATAGCTGACACTGTTAAATCTAGACTACAAATTATTTCATTACCTACCCCTACCTCTTAACCCCACACCATGGGTCATTTCCCTCGTATTGCTCTGTAGCAGGGTTCAGCTCAGAACCAGCTGAATCCCAAAGGATTCTTCCTCCAGTTCCCTCTTAATAAAGCTCAACATCTGTGGTTTCAAGAAATGCAAGACTTTTCCTAACAGTTCTCATAACTCCAGCTATGCCCCTTCTTTGTAGCAGTTTCAGAATTTGGCAGTGCACAATGTCCCGAGCCCAATTCACACTCTCGTTTTGAACTCCATTACTGTAAGTCTGCTGGTATTGTATTGCAATGCTATCTTAATAACCACTGAGTCAAAAAATCAGTATTGTTTAAATAATGGTAAGTAAGATGCTTATCAATGAATGCAGAAACCTTCAAGAGAGAAATGCCTTCACCTATACCTACAATTCAAATAACCATATAATATCATCTTAATCCAAATTTTGGAAACTTGCTTATTTTCTGTATCATCTTTTACACCACAGTATATGGTCTTGATGCTGCCACAGAACTGCATATGCATAAATCTTCGCTGGATCAAATTCCTTGCTGAAGCAGAACTGCCATATCAAAACCTAGATGAGCCTACTACGTACTCACATACATGGCATTTTACAATGACTCCTCAACTGCCTTAATATATCTACACTGTATTAAAATCTATATTATTATAAACTCATACATTTCATGTTCTCCATGATGCTGCTGAGAATTAACGATCATTATTTATAATCACAAACTATTCTTCATTTAAAGCACACAAAATTGTGAAAGATTAAAGGTACATCTACCATGTTACCAGCAGGTCTGAAATTTTCACTGTAAAGAGATTTTAAACAGAGGTAGAAAAATATTTGAAATGAATATATGCATTTTCTCTCTGCAATTTACCAACCATACTGATTTCTGGGTTTTTGTGAGAGACATCTATAACTTACTAATTAAAGCCCTGTTCTCCATATTTTAGAGTAAGAAAAACACTTCATGTTGAAGTTATATCACTCACATGTACATTACAAGAATTTATACCGGAAGCAAGTGCAGCACTTTACATTCAGCATTTTTGGATTTTTTTTTTCTTGTTTTCTAGCTGAATTATAACAATTGATGTTATGAACCCTCTCAGAAATAATTTCCAGTGTGCTTGGTGCACAGTACATTCCACAGGAGCTTGACTGATGTAAACCATAACTGAAATGTTGTGGTCAAGTTTGCAAACTTTAAGAGTAGCATTTATGAACACATGGGAGCAATCTTTCTAAAATAATGAACAAGAATGTACATTTACACCTATACAGGATAAAAGTTTCAGGGTCAAGATGGTAATACATGCTTGAATGTCCGTAACTCCTCTTAACTTTCATTTAAGTTATTTTGGTCAATCTATCGACAAAATCAAGAACAGAAGAAATGCCATCTCTAAATACATTTTTAAAAAATAAAAAAATAAAACCTAAGGATTGCCTGATCCAAAACTCAAAGCTAGTACAAAGACTTCCCTTTATTTCATAAAACTGTGGACCTTCTTCTGAGAAGTTAGTATGAAAAAGAATTCATTTCAAAACAGTTTGATTTTATATTAGTATTTCATTCCATAGAAGTCCTCCCAGCATACCAAAATAAAGCGATTGCATTTTTTGAAGCATACTCTTCTTTCTGATAATTTATTTTATTTTCTACTTATATGACATCAATCAACTCCCTGGATTGTGCCTGAAAGGCATATTTTAAAAGGCAGTATCACATTGTTCTTTCAGCACATGTGGAAGAGAGAGTGCATTTCTTTCTCGTTCTAGTTAAAGACTGACTGCAACACAGTGACCCACTTGTGCAGATACTTTCTACTGGCAGGATGCTGAGAGACTTACACTTGAGAATACTTGATGTTTATTCAGTAGAAACTACCTGGTAAAGGAACTAGTGTCTCAAAGGAAGACTCAGATGTCTGTGTGTGATACTCCTACCAAGTGAACCAAAAAGAAAGAAGATGCAAAGAGTCCATCCAAAAGACTGCTATAATGTGCAAAACTTTATGTATGCTGTATCCATATAATGCAGCAACGCTTCAGCGCATGCTACAGAACTGCAGTAGTTTCACATTAATCAGGCACTGGCTGTCTAATTTATTTGAGATATGTCTGATTTCATCCTACACATCCGAAGTCTAGGATGTTACATGAGGCACAGCCATTAGAAAATGCACATAGAAAATAGATACTTACGACATATTATCAACAAATAGCTATGCTTTGGGATATTATCAGACCCCATATTCTAACTCAGTTTAGCTAACAGTTCAACCTGCAAGTTCAGAAAGTTATTTCAATTTTCTTTACAGTATGCGGCCCACAAGAAGACAGTGTGTTACCTCAGTTTCTGGAGTAGGAGATGGAGTAATGGAACCAAGTGATCCTTTCCGTGAGCCCTGGAGATCTGTTGGGATGGACACGGGACGTTGCCATTGAGTTGTTCCTGTTGGTATGTGCCAGTAGTAGATCCCAGCAATGTCATTGATTTTTTTCCAGCCAGGTGGTAAGTCTGGGTCTGTCTGAAATGAATGATCACTCCATATATCTGCTGGGAACAGAAAAAAAAAAATTAAAAAAAAAGAAAATTAATCAGTATTACTAAGACACAAACAGTTCTTCCATGGGTCTGCCCCTGATGCAAGTGATGCACAGCTGGTACTGCTATTGTACAGTTCCTGTGTAAATGAACACCAGAAAAACATGCTGAATTATCAAGGCTCAAAGTAAGGTGACAAAGCCTCGTTTGACTTGGCCTATAGAGGAGAAAAGTACACTACTTTCCAAAGAGCTGTTCTAATACGGCAGCTATCTAATACCATCAGATAAACTAGCTCTTCTAATAAGGTTTAGCTTCAAGTACATTAAATCACAGCACATAAAGAAGAATTTGGAGTTGTGGTGTACTCTGTCCTCTTCAGCACAGCACCTTCCCTTCTCAATGCATGAAAGCAGAGCATATACTTCTGCTAATCAAAGTCAGCTTATCAAAACAGACACCCCCCCCCC